GTAAGTGATGAAATTGGATTTGAATTGAGTTTCAATGAATTGAGGGTAATTTTGGTATATACAAAAGTATTTTCCTTATTTGCAAATAAGTTTGAATGAACTGGATTTATTTGAAAGACAAAAAAGTTGGATGTCCCTCTTTTAATTAAGTGCCCTTGTCATGAGCTTATTTGCTATATATATATATATATATATATATATATATATATATATTTATATATATATAAAAAAATATATATATATATATATATATATAAATATATATATATATATATATATATATATATATATATATATATATATATATATATATATATATATATATATATATATATATATATATATATATATATATATATATATATATATATATATATATATATATATATATATATATATATATATATATATATATATATATATATATATATATATATATATATATATATATATATATATATATATATATATATATATATATATATATATATATATATATATATATATATATATATATATATATATATCGTCAAAACCTTGGGGCGATCATCGGTCATGTAACCGACGAGAAATCCGTAGAGCTGCGCCACATCTTCCCACCCTGCCTTCTCACTGACGATCAGCAATCGTGAGATACACTTAATCGCAGGCACAAGGCCGTCAACTCCAATTGATTTCATTCGAAGTACGCGAGTCAGGAGCTCGGATAGGTAAGCGTGCTGCATTTTTAGGGCAGAAAGGGGATATCTGTCAACGACGAGTGACAGAATGGTAAGCATAGCGTCGAGGAGGTGCCCCGCGGCATCGGTGCTTGACGAGAGGCGGTCCAGGGACGAGCACGTGACGCGGAAGTAGACGGCGGCGGTGCGGGGGAGGTTCCGGTCAATCAGTTCCTGCGACATGGTGCCGATGCTGTTGCAGACGTGTGTGTGGTGCTCGTTGCTTCTATTGCTGAACTGAGAGATTACGGCGGCGCAAAAATCGTCGCCGGAGTGCTGCGCCGGTCGCGCCGTCTCCATTTCGACGCCTTCCATGACGGCCGGAGGGAATTTAGGGGCGGCAGCGGCAGTGGCAGCGCGCAGGATTGTAGGGTTTTAGCTTTCGGTGGGAAGAAGATTTTGTTGAGCGTTTTTAGGTTAAAATAACAAAAAACAAAAGATAAATTCTTTTAACACGATTTATTGAGGTACAGTAAAAGTAGTATTGTAAATAAATAAATTAACACAAATTCAAAAAAATATTATTTATTTATTTATTTATTAATTTTGTTTGATAATTAAAAGTATGTATTTGATAATGGTGCATGTGAGTTACTGGCCCAATCAAAAGGCCCTGAAATTCGATACGTGACAAGTGCGCATCGGCCCATTACCAACCAATTTATTGATTTTTTTATTTTTTTTTCTCAAATTTTATATATGAAACTTGCAATATTCATTGTTGATGTGTAAATAAAATAGAGTACCTACTAGTGCCGATTTAGTTACCACAACCTAACAAGAAGAAGCTCAATTAAAATAGCTTAATTTTAGTAAAATTATTTAAAATTTACTAAAATAACTTTTACTATTTAATAGTTTAAAACAGATTAGATAATAGTTGAATTAATAAAGGTTAAAAAATAAAATATACATTTAATGCAGTATTGAAAATGTTAAAGTGACAGATAATATGGAACTAAAATATTTTTTCAAAAATGTCTGTTATTGTGGAATAGATGAAGTGAGACTGTTGCACTCTTTTTGAAAGTCGATAACTAAAGTATTAAAATATAGAAATGCAAAACAAGATTCATTTTTTAAGTCGTAAAAAATGAA